AATCTCCCCAATTCCCCAACCCCTCTTTGCCTCACCTGTTCATCATTTCTCTCACCCATTTACTCTTGATCTCCATCTAAGAAAAAAAGGGTCAAATTCAAGAAACTGAAAATAAATTTGCCAGGATCACAGATCTGCAGACGGTGTTGCAGAAGATCAGAGAACTAAGTAGGCATATGAGCAAGAAGAAGATGGGTTTTTTCTTGCAGTTAAAAGTCTTCTTTTTTATAATTTCTCTCCTCCTCAGATCATCAAAAGGAATAGTGTGTATGTACATCTTTGAACAATTACTCTGCTTTTTAATTCTTTTTTTTTCTCCCACATTATATTGAATATTATTACTACTTGTTCAATTTTGATTTTGTGCATATATTGTTTCTGAAAACTAGTTATAGCCCTTGAAATTGAAGCCTGTTTTTGAAACTGTGTTTATGGACTCTTGAAGTTAAAGCCTCTTCTTGGAACTGTTTATTTATTGAATGATTAGCTTTTTTATAGATAAATATTACTCGTCATTATATTTTTTTTCCTCTCCTCTCGATATTCTTGTCATCTCTTATATGTAAAACTTTTGACATAGTTTTTTAATATGTAATTTTTATTTCTTATCGATATACTGATTTGCAAATACAATGATTTTAAAAAGTAAGATATTTCTACTCGTAAACCCGAATTTATGATCAAATTGAGGACTTAGGGAGTATGAACTTCATGTATTTTTCCTAAATAAATATAAAAAATTTACTCCCTTTGTCCAAAAATACTCTTCTCATAATTTCACCCCTAGTATACGAATTTTCATCATTATTTGACTTCGGTATATAAAATTTAATTCATATCAATAAAGTACACGAACATTCAACATTCTTTCACCGGTGATCCAATAGGCGGTTTATAGGTTACCTTAAGGTCATTTGGGGCTAAATTATAATTTCAAATTTAAATTTTTTACAAATTATAATTTAAAGTTTATATACCGAAAAGAAATCATGATAAAAGTGTATATATAATGGGTGAAATTTCTTACTAGAGTAAAAGAAGGGAAAAACACCAAGATGGAAATTTTTTATTTTTATTTCCAAAATAAGAGTATAATGCCAATAATTTTAATGGGTGCCTATTTACATGTGATTTTCTAAATTCAATCCCCAATTCTAATATATTACTTTCTCCGTTTACCTTAGATCTTTCCATTGCGCATTATGAACTTTGACTGAGTTTATTTTCAATTCAATTTATTTAAATATAAGAGTAAAATTCTAATATAAAATCTATGTAATAATAAATTACACGAAAAGTTCTACAAAAGTAGTTGTGACAATACTATTTTATTTTATTATTAAATGAGTAGTAAAAATAAACAAACAAAGTGAATTAAGTTTGCCCTGTGAATAGTGTCTGAGAAGATTTATAGTGGACAAAAAGAGTATATAAATAGTCATTAATTTTTAAAATATCTAATAAATAGTCATTTAGGCTAAATATGACAAAAAAAATCACAATAATCTCTGAAAGAACGATTATAGAATAATTTTTAAAAGTAAGACAACTATTTTTGGACCGACTATTTATATCATATCCTGAATTTAGAGACAAATGTCCCGTTCTATTCAGCTTATTTTTGATACTTATTGTTTATTCTTATCAGAATCAGATTAGATTAATTAAGATTAGATCATGTCCATTTAGATTGAAAAATTATTTAAAAAATAAATAATTTAAGAATAGTAATAAAAAAATTACAATAATAATGATGGAAATAATAATAATAATAATAATCATTATTATTAAATTAATTAGTATTGGGTCGATTCAAATAGGATTCAATTAGTATTTTTGCACCCCTAATTTAGGTTTTGTTGTAAGTCATCATCTAAAATAGGATTTTTTTCTGAATTTAGTTTTTACTTATTGGATACTCAGAATAATTGTTTGCAAAATGGGCCTGTAACTTAAGCCATGTGTAATCGCTGATAAAAAATACCCTTTATAATGGGCCTGTCACTTAAATAGTTAAATATGATCTAAAAGTAACAGAAAAATAAACAAAATGTTGTTTGCTTTAAGAATATCAACAAAGCCCATTTGTTTCCGAGGCCCAATTATGCCATCTTTCTTTTTAGACATTCTAATTATCTAATAATTATTGTATTTTTATACTGTATTAAGTAATATATTTATTTGTACGAGCCCATCTGGAGTAACATACGACGAGCATTAAACATTATTCATCTTTAAGAAAAATATGGGCTTTTCATACAAAACAAAGCGAGTACTTTTTCCAAATATAATTTTAATTAAATATACGCAATCAAAGAATAACCTTATTTGATTACAAAAAACCAAAACTTGACACACACTTTAGTACCAAGGTTAAAGAAATATTTTGACAAATTAGAATAGTAAAAATATGAATAACATATTCCATCCGTCCAACAATAGTGTTCTCGTTTACTATTCACAGGATCAAATTTTATTCACATTGTTGGCGTATTTGTGTTGCCCATCTGATAAAATAATGTAGTCATGTTACCTCTAATTTTACAGATCCTTTTTTAGTAGTTTTTAAATAAGTAACTTTTATTTTTTTTTTAAATCCATACGATTTTTCATATAAAATGATTTAAAAATAACTTCAGTCAAACATCATAACACATAGTGGAAAACATTATTATTGGACGGAGGGAGTATTATTTTGTTAAAAAAGTGATCTACATTAAATGTGTCTTAATTGTATGAAGAAAGAGGGTTACTCACATTTATTTATTTACAATTGAAAGTGGAAAAATATATGGATTAAGTGAAAAGTTAACGAAAGGAACAACGGTGCAATGCTAGCATGACTTGAGAGCACTGGTAATGGTTATGAAGCCCCGGGGCTTCAAACCGGGGCTTCAAACTTTCTCTCTCTGCCACGTCAGCTTTAACTTAGACCCAAAATTCACTGGAAATGGGTTTGAAGCCCTGGGGCTTCAAAACTGGGCTTCAAACCTTCATTTTTTACATTTTTAAATATACATCTTCTAAAATTAAATTAATAAAATGTAATTAATTTATTATTTAATTAAATTGAAACACGAATAATAAAAATACATTCATTAAATAAAAAAAGTGTCAATAATTTAAAAAACGATACATTAATAAAAAAACTAAGGTAAATTATATTTCTCCTTGATCTCTCTCATTCTTTGCTCATAGATCATTCGTCCAAACTCCGACAACGTCCCGAGGTCGGTTTGCATGACTTTCATCTCAGCCTCATGCTCCTTTAGCTTCAACTCCTTCTCCTTTAGCTTCAACCTCTCTTGTTCTTGGAGATTGAACGCCCGAAGTTGTTCAATCATTGCCCGGCCGATTTCGTCGCGGGGAGAAGCGGAAATAGAGGCGGACCCTCCCAAACCCGAGGCAATGGATTTTGCCTTCTTTCTTCCGATCGGCCGTGGAATGGGGTCCTCGTCATCGGAATCCGCAACGTTGAAGGGAGGGATTTGATTGCTAGAACCGATAGTCTCGTCGACCTCAACCTCGGCGTCGACGGTGGATCTTTTCCGGAACGATCCGCCGTCGGGATTGTTGAGTTGTTGCCACTTCGGGGAACGACTCAAAATCCTCCAAAGATCGATGGGCACCTTGCCTTGGTTCCCGTCGTCTTGATACCGGGTCGTGGCAAGCCGGAGAACATCGGCGTCGTTCGTGCCGCTCCTCCGGGACCGGGAGCATCCCTCGTAAACTC